CAGAATATGACCAATCTCTGAGAAGACTTCCCTCCATGTCCTTCTCCAGTCATTGATTTCTATGCCTTTTAAAATTTTGCCTGTTTTAATATTTTACATAAACAGAATTAAGTGACCTCTTTTGATCAACGTAGTTTGTTGGATTCACCCACATTATTTTAAATAAATGGAGATTGCTCATTCTTGGTGCTGTGTAGTATTCCACAGAATGAAGGCTCCAGTATGTATTTGCTTCCCCGGTGGCTCAGCTAGTAAAGAATCCACCTGCCAGTGCAGGAGACACAAGAGACATGGGTTCAAACCCTGGGTCAGGAAGATCTCCTGGAGAAGGAAACGGCAACCCACTCCAGTATTCTTGACTGGAAAATTCCATGGGCAGAGGTGCCTGGCAGGCCATACAGTCCATTGGGTTGCAGAGTCAGACATGACTGAGTGTGAGCACGTGCATGTGCGTGCATGCGCGTGCGCGCACACACACACACACACACACACACACAATGTATTTACTCATTCTATTGTTAGTGAGTAGTTTCCACTTTTTGGCTATTATGAATAGGGCTACTATGGACAGTCTAGAATGTATCTTTTGGTAAATATGTGTACTCGTTCCTGCTAGGTATGTACCAAAGAGTGGAATTGCTAGTCACAAGGTGTACATGAGTACTCCAACCAGTTTCCCAAAGTGAATGTTATTTATATTCCTAGAGACATTTAGAAAAATTTCAGCTGCTCCATGTTTTCCCAAACACTTGATATTGTCCAGTCTTTTTTAATGTTGGCCATTTTAGTTGGCTGTGTAGCGGTATCTCGTTGTGATCTTAATTTGTCTTTCCCCAGTGATTAATGAGGTTGAACATCATTTCATATATACATGAACCTTCTGAATAGCAGCTTTTGTGAAATGCTGTTAAAATCTTTGCCCATTTTCTGTTTCTATATACTCTTAATTATTTTTAATACCTAATAATACATGAATTTCTTTCTCATCCTTGAAAAAAATACTCCAGCTAAGATGGAGTCTCCTTGGACAACCCAACCCCATCCTCTTGCCTCTCCCAAAATGTGGTTTCTTCTAGACTTCTCTATATATTTGCCTGAATGCAAATATTTTGTGATGATTGCATATGTACTAGCTGACTTTCCCCCATCAATGTGCATTTTGTCTCTTTCCAATTTTTCTCTATGACAAGCGTGTTGAAATGGGATCGAAAGGAGAGGATCCTTCTGGTTCTAAAGAGGAAGTGCTGGGACTGGCCCTTTCTGTCTATAGCTATAGAAAATAGATAGGGACTTCCCAGGCAGCCCAGTGGTTAAACCTGCATGCTTCCACTGCAGGGGGTACAGGTTCAATCCCTGGCCGGGGAACTAAGATATCAGATGCTGTGAAGTGCAGTCGAAAAAAAAAAAAAGATTAAAAAAATAGAATATAGATATATATTCTAGACAGATTTCTGTCTATATTTATAGAATACATGGATATATTGTTAGATATCTGTTATATATATTGCAATATATATGTATATATATTGTTAAGTGCTTGTGTTTAGTCACTCAGTTGTGTCCGGCTCTTTGCAACCCCATGGACTGGAGCCCACCAGGCCCCTCTGTCCATAGGATTTTCCAGGCAAGAATACTGGAGCAGGTTACCATTTCCTTCTCCAGGGATTGAACCCAAGTCCCCAGTGTCTTCTGCATTGCAGGTGGATTCTTTACCAACTGAGCCATCAGGGAAGCCCCCATATATTGTTTTATATACATATATATGTATACATATGCATACATATACATGTGTGTATATGTATATATACATGTATATGTATATATACATGCATACGTATACATATGTATATGCATGTGCACATGCGTGTATACATACATATACACACATATAGATATAGACAGACTCACACTACAAACAACCCGAGCCATGAGATTCTTGAGAGCAGAGACAGTCTGTTCCCTGCTCGCACACTCTACCTGACTTTGTCCCTAACACCTCATCTGGACCAGGTGCTTCTACTTGAAGCGGTTGTGGTAGCCGGGCCTCCAAGACGGACGCCACTGATTCTCACTTGTATTCAGGTCCCCTTTTACATTGGATAGGGCAGTTCCGTGTACTGATGAGACATTGCGGAAACGACAGGGTGTGACTTTGAAGCCAGGTCATACAAAATAGGGCAGCTACTGACCTGCCCCTTTCCGACTCATTCACTCTGGGGGAAAACGACTGTCACGTGAGGACACTCACGTGTCCTAGTGGAGAGGGCCACTCGGTGTGGAACTGAGGCCTCCTGACAGCAGCCAGCGTCAGTCAGCCAACACTGTTAGGGAGCCCCTGGGAGGGAGGTTCTTCAGCGCCAGTTGAGTCTTCAAATGACTGCCTTCCCAGTTGACATCTGACTGCAACCTTGGGAGAGACACTGCCCGGAATCACCGAGGTAAGGAGCTTCCAAATTCCCAATCCACGGAAGATAAGAAATATGTATCATTGTTTGCTCAGCAATTTGTTGTTTATTTGCATATGTCATTTAAGTTTATATGCATAAGTCTATACGTATGTCTATTTCCTCTGCTACACCATGAATGCTGTTGGGGTGGGGACAGTGTCTGTTTTCTTTTCTTTCATTTTTTTTATTATGGCAATTTCCAAGCATAAAGTTTGAAAGCTTTACACAGTTCAGTTCAGTCGCTCAGTCGTGTCTGACTCTTTGCAACCCCATGAACAGCAGCACGCCAGGCCTCCCTGTCCATCACCAACTCCTGGAGTCCACCCAAACCCATGTCCATTGTATTGGTGATGCCATCCAACTATCTCATCCTCTGTCGTCCCCTCTCCTCTGCCCTCAATCTTTCCCAGCATCAGGGTCTTTTCAAATGAGTCAGCTCTCCATATCAGGTGGCCAAAGTACTGGAGTTTCAGTTTCAACATCAGTCCTTCCAATGAACACCCAGGACTGATCTCCTTTAGGATGGACTGGTTGGATCTCCTTGCAGTCCAAGGGACTCTCAAGAGTCTTCTCCAACACCACAGTTCAAAAGCATCAATTCTTCAGTGCTCAGCTTTCTTTATAGTCCAACTCTCACATCCATACATGACTACTGGAAAAACCATAGCCTTGACTAGATGGACCTTTGTTGTCAAAGTAATGTCTAAGCTTTTCAATATGCTGTCTAAGTTGGCCATAACTTTCCTTCCAAAGAGCTTTACACAGTGTATACCCATATACTCAGTGTCTAGAGTCTATAATTTTGGTTGATTTATTTTTCACCTCTCTATCCTTTAATCTATCCACTAATCTAACTTCTTTTTCTGACATATTTTAAGGTTAATTGCAGGGACTTTCCTGACGGTCCAGTGGTTAAGAATCTGCACTTGCACTGCGGGGATCTACGGTTCCAATTCCTGGTCTGAGAACTAAGATCCTGCATGCTGTGCAGCACAACCAAAACACAAAAAACAAAACAGTATGCATATCATCAACTAGGGTTCCATTTTTTTGACTTATTTTGTTTGGGTAAAAAAAATTTGGGGGTGGGGGCACAGTCCATGGATACGCCTTAGGTAAATTTTATGTAAGGTGAAATGCACAAATTCTGTGTATTGTTTGTTGATTTTTGACATGTATCTACATCTATATAACTAAAACCTCTTTCAAGATATAGAATATTACTATGCCAAATCCAGCATAACCCTCGCCTCCTAGCCCCCTGTCCACGGAGATAATCGCTGCTCCTGTGTTTACATCACAGATCAGTTTTACCAACTTTCGTCTTCATGGTCATTCAAACAAATTACATACTAACTACTCACTCCTGTAAAACTTCTTTTACTTAGCCTTAAGGGTGTCTGTTTCCTTGATTCCTATTCATTCATTCATTCAGGAAACTTGTCAAACACCAGACTTGTGCCAGGCACTTAGCTGAGTGCTAGAAATCAGGGCTGGGACCAAGGGGAGGCAAGCCAGCTTCTCACTTTCAGGCTCTTGCAAGGACTGGGTCAACATCTAAGAGTGAGTGCCTTTTAAAATTCTGCACCCTGGGCACATTGCTGACTTTATCCTGGTCCCAACCCTGTAGGAGATAGAGGAGTGCAAGAACTGAAAATGATCTCTTACCTCTTTTTGCCCCTACAGTTATTCAACACCTCTGTGTTAGTTCTTCTGCTAATACTACACTTTTAATTTACATCCAGGATATGTTTTGTTCTTATTATGGCAAGTCTGCCCTCAGTAGCAATACCTTTATCGAGTGCTTACTGTGTGCCACCGTGTTCTACTAAGGGGTCCCCAACAGCCAAGCCGTGTAAGAAGACAGGTATACCTGTGAATAGGAAACAAGAAGACCCCTATTACCTGATAGAAACAATGAACATTCATGATTTTAACTCATATTTATCAAGCGCTTACCATGTGTCGAGCACTGTGCTAAGTACTTGGGAAACTGGCCGAAGCTTTAAAACCACCCCACTGAGGTGACCCCTTGATCACTTCTCTTTAACAGATGAATATATTGAGTTAAGAGCTGAAATTGCTTGCCCAAAGTCAGAGCTAGGGAATGCGACGGCAGGATTTGCACAGTTCTGACTTCCAAATTGATGCTATTAAACCACTGTCTGTCTCCCAGAGAAAACACTCAACACATTTTAAACAGAGCACTAGGTAAGCACGTAAACATAATTACATTTCCCAACGAAGTTTTTTATTTAAAACAGTTATTCCAAAAAAATAAAAATAAAAGTTATTCCCAGCATGTCCTTCTCGCCTAGGCTGGGAGGTGGAGGGAGGGCTGACAGAACTACTTTTCCCAGGATGCAACGTTCCTGGCTGTCAAGCATGTCGGGTACTGTAGTCCTCCGAGGAGATAATAACCCATGGCTCCCAAAATGCATTTGGAGCCTGAACCTTGCCGTAGGAAAAGTCCAGTCGCGCAGCATGCTGGGAAGCGGGACAGGCTCTTTTCCCGGTTTGTCTCCCGGACGAGCGAGCCTATTTTTTTTTCAGGACTACAATTCCCAGCGGGCTGTGCGCGAGAGGGCGGGCGAATTCTTCTGCCGGAAGTCCGCTCTACCCCTGGGTCCCCCAACAGCTGCCAGAGCCGGAGCCACCCAGAAGCCGCGGGACCGGGGGCCGCTGGGGTCCGGACAGGGGTCGCCATGGTAACGAGGGCGCGCCTATGCTGGGGATGGGCGACGGGTGGGCCCACGTGCAGGTACTCCAGGCTCGGTGCGTTACTGACAAGCCGCCCCTGCTGCGGTGCGATGGTCTGGGCCGGGCGCGGGCTCTCGGGATTGGGGCCGATCAAAGGCCGGCGAAGGGGGCAAGTGGGGGTGGTTCTGGGTGCGTGTGTGTACTGGGGTTATCGAGGCTAGGGGGGCTTTTGAAGACCAGGTGCCAGGGGAGAAGGCTGTGTGGAAGGGAGACATTCGAGGTGGTTGGAGGGTTTTGAAACGGGGAGGCAACTCACGAGGCAGGATCTCTGAAGCGGGGAGAAGGAACTGGAGGTGGGGAGGGGGCGTCCCAAGCGGAGGGCTTTCCGGGAGTGCGTCAGGAGAGCTAGAGAAGAATGGGAGACGTTGGGATAGGAGAGAGGGAGTCTCTAGGGGCAGGAAGCTGATGTGGCGGGCGGAGAGGGGCTGTTGGAACTGGGTGGGATACTGCTGGTGAGAGAGAGTCTTAAGGGTAAGAGACTGGACACTGGAGACAGGAAGTACTGTAGGGAGTGAGGCTTTAGAGTTAGGAAAAGTGTGCTGTAAGAGGGAAGAAGGCTTGGAGTAGGGAGTGAATACTACACATGAATGGGGAGCAATGGAACAGGTCTCTGCAAGAGGAGGGGTCTCAGAGGGTAGTAAGCATGGGAGGGAGTAACCATGGAAGTGAGAGGTGGGGAGGGGGTTTGGGGAACAAGGGCTGGGCATTGGAGCTGGCACCAATCCCCAGGGATGGGGCACCCTGACAGAAAGCACTGATACTGAGAAAGCAGGAGTCAAAAGAGAGCAACTCCAAGGGGGCCGGGAGGACTTGGAGGTAGAGAAGGCTGGGTGAGGGGGCGGTACTGAGAGGGGATATCAGAGGGGTGAGGATACAGAAAGGGTGGGACTTCTCAGTGTGGATTCCCTGAGATGGAGAGACTAGTTGGGAGGAGCAACACGAAGAGGTGTATGAGGGAATTCAGGAGTCAGAGACAGAGCTCTCCCTTAGTTCTGCAGCCTTGCTCCCATCTCTCCTCCCTATCACCTCCATCTATCTCTGGCTCTGGCCCCCAGGCTGTGGCTGCCTGGTGTGGGTCCCACCCCCACCCCCCACCCCATGCCCTTGGCCTGCCTGCCAGGACCCCTGCCTTGCTAGGAAGTGGTTTTCCCTGGCTCAGCAGAAGGGGTTCTTGGAAGGAGAGTGTAACATCCTGTTCCCATCCAGCTCAGATGAGTCGGGGGAGGAGGGATGGAGTGTGTGGAGAATGAGGGTTACGAAAGAGAGCAGCCTCTCATGACCTGGTGGAGGCTTCCACAAGTTAGGATAAGGGGATTCAGAGCAAAGCCTTTGGATTCCCAGCTCTGCTTTCTGGCTGTGAGACTTCCATTCTCTGAGCCTCGATTTCTTCATCTATAAAATGGACATGAGCACGCCCATCTCCAACAGAACTGGGCTCAAAGCTGCATGCACTTGGCCCATGATTTTCTTAAAGTCAAATGGCAGTGAATTTATATTGAAGAACTAATAGTTGTATAATGCTTAGTATGTGCTCGTCACTGTGTTATCCCTGTTGTGTTCATGAGCTCATGCAGCGGTCTCATGAGGGAGGTGCTCTCATTATGTCCATTGTGCAGACAGTGAAACTGAGGTCCAGAGAGGTGAAGTAACTTGCCTACAGCTTCACAGCCAACAGTGCCAGGATTCATTCGGGCTCTAGAGTCTGTGTTTTTAGCCAGTTGGTCAAATGCGTCAGTCGTAATAGTTAATCTTATTGAACACTCAGTATATAAACGGGACTGCACAAAACACTTCTGGGATCAACTTGTTCAGTGTTCATAGTAGCCCTGTGACAGCTGAGCTGGCTTTTCAGAATCTTAAAAACACCTTGCGTCTCCTAGCCATTACTGATGATAATTGCAGCTGACACCTGGCTTGCCTGTTAGTGCCAGCCACTGACTAAATTTATAAACTTATTTAACCTTCAAAACACCCTGACAAGGTGAGTTTTCTAAGGGAAACTTGTTTCACTGTGGGGAAACTGAGGCGTAAAGGAGGGGATCTTTTGTCCAAGGTCAGGGAGGAAAGACTTGGTGGAGCTTGGGACTCAGCGCCCTAGAGACGACTGCAGAGTTGGCCAGTGGACGAGAAATCACTCCACGGGGTGTTGGAGGGACCTGGGACCAGAGCATGTGGCCAGGTCAGCCTGGCTGGGCTCAGGGGAGTGGCCGAGACCCTTGGAAGGCAGGCAGCTGGGACACGTGGACCCCTATCTTCCCCATGGGGCAGGGTGGGGCTGTTGGGCTGGGCCACCCTGCACTGGCTCGCCTACCCCACCTCTCTCCCTGCCTCCTCCTCTTGCCATCCCCAGATCCGCTTCATCCTCATCCAGAACCGAGCAGGCAAGACGCGCCTGGCCAAGTGGTACATGCAGTTTGATGATGACGAGAAACAGAAGCTGATCGAGGAGGTGCACGCCGTGGTCACTGTCCGAGACGCCAAACACACCAACTTTGTGGAGGTGACAGCTGCCCCCACCCCCGCCAGTCCCTCCCATACTCCCCTGCTTTCTTTTGACCCCCCTCTTCCCAGCCTCAGATGGCAATGACCCCTCAGATTCTCCTTCCTCCCCACCCCCCAATCATTTATTCAGCTTGCCTGCTGTCTGCTTTCCTTTGAGGAGGGTGGGTTACTTTTCAGGGTGAACATTTTCAGACATACAGGTTAGTACAATGAGAAGTCAATTGAAAACTCCTCCAGCTTTCATCAGTATTAAGAGTTTGCATTTTGTTCTATCTTTTTTCCTCTCTTTTTTATTTTTTTTGGCTGAAGAACTTTTTTTTTCCCCTGGTGCCTTTTAAAAACTTACTACAAAAATGCTCACACACATAAGTGTAGAGAATGGTATAATGAACCATCCCTGGTTGTCATGTTTTCAATTAAGTTAGAGAGATCATGGGGGAATCCCCTGGAGGTCTGGAGGGTAGGATTGCGTGCTGTCACTCCCAAAGGTGCGGGTTCAGTCCCTGATTGAGGAACTAACATTGCACAAGCCATGTATTTCAGTTAAAAAAAAAAAAAGGTATAGAGATAATGATATTTCATCCCTAAATATTTCAGGGTACATCTCAGAAAATAAAGACACTGCCTTCCATGACCACAGTATCATCAGGCCTGATAAAAGGAGTCCTACTTCCTTACTAATGTTACTCTAAATCCAATCAATATTTAAATTTCCCCCAGATCATCAGAGGGCTTCCCAGGTTGCCCTAGTGGTAAAGAACCCACCTGCCAATGCAGGAGACGTAAGAGACGCAAGTTCAATCCCTAGGTCAGGAAGATCCCCTGGAGGAGGACATGGCAACCCACTCCAGCATTCTTGCTTGAAGAATCCCATGGACTGAGGAGCCTGGCAGGCTACAGTCCATGGGGTCACAAAGAGTCAAACACGACTGAAGCAACTTAGCATAGCACAGATCATCAAAACTGATTGTCCAAAGCCAGTCAGGGATCTTGGCATTGCTTTTGGTCTCTTTATTGAGATGCTTCTAGCTTTAATTCCCACGGTAATAGCCTATTAAGAGACCAGGCTGATTGTCCTGTGTGTGTGTGTGTGTGTGTGCGTGTGTGCGTGTGTGCGTGCGCGTGCGCATATGCACACTCGGTCATGTCTGACTCTCTGTGACCCTGTTGACTGTGGCCCGCCAGGCTCCTCTGTTCATGTAGAGTTCAATAGATATTTATTGGCAGCTCGCTATGTACCGAGTACTCTTCTCAGCACTGGTGATACAGCAGGGAGTGAAACAGAGCCAGCCCTTTCCCTCAGAGAGCTGACCACTGAGGTTTTTAGTTTTAGTCCATGGGAGGCTGTTATTATAATGAAGATATAGTGTATCAGGTATGATAGATGCCAGGGAGAAAAAGGAAGCAGCTGTGGGGGATGGAATGGCTGGGGTGTATACAGTGGGTAATGGGGACTGGAACGTAGGTTTAAATGGTTTTATCAGGAAGTCTTCATTGAACAGGGGACATTTGAACCCAGACCTGAAGGAATGGAGAAGTGGAAGGAGATGATATCTGAGAAAGGAACGTTCCAAGCCCAGGGAACCATAAGTGCAAAGGCCTTGAGGCAGCAGGGCGTACAAGGGCATTCCTGGAATAGCAAGAAAGCCGGTGTATCTGAGGTGGGGTAAGCCAGGGAGGAAGGTGGGAGCAGATTGAAGGTATAACAGAAACAGGAGGTTCAGGGCCTTGTGACCTGTCATGAGGACTTGGGCCCTTACTCTGAGCAAGAAGGGAGCCACAGGAGGCTTTTGAACTGAGGAGGGAGGTGTGCTAGCTTAGGCTTTAGGGATCCCTTTCTAAGGGGCAGGAGCAGAAGCAGGGGGACTGCTCAGGAGGTGACTGCTGCGGCCCAGGTGAGAGATGCTGGTGACTTTCACAGTCATGGAAACGGGCTGGTGAGAAGCATTTTGAAAGGAGAGCCAATTGAAGGGCCAAAGATTGGAGGTGGTGTGGGAAAGAAAATGGAGCCGCCAGTAGGGGGCGCTGTCATTTCTCCAGATGGGCTGACTTAAGCAAAGAACAGGTGGAGGGGAAGATCAGCAGTGGGGTGTCCATTCCTAACCGAGTGGAGATGTGGGGGGCGGGATGATGAAGTGAGGGGAGTCGGAGCATAAGGGATGTCGGCTCTCCCGGGGCACCATGCTGCCAGCGCAGGGCCGGTCCCACGCTGAGTGCTGGAAACGACAGCATCTGAGGGACCCGGAGTGGGCAGGGAGGCAGATTAGGAGGAGCCAGAAAGGTTTGATGCCAGCTGAGAATGTCACAAGGGGTCTGGACCATCTTAGACCCCTCCCGACCCAGGCCCACTCCAGACTGTCGCCCTGTGCAGGGCAGCACTGGTGACACAGCGGTGACAGGAAGGAGCCAGGTGGATGATAGCAGGAAAGAAACAAAGAGAACTGTTCAGGGTCAGACCCTGCCAAGGCCACACCAGCAAGTAGAGTTAACATCCTGATATATTCTTACTAATCCATGGATTATGTGCAGGAGCTACTGTCATAATATTGGGCTTCCCTGGTGACTCAGCGGTAAAGAATCTGCCTGCCAATGCAGGAGACGTGGGTTCGATCGCTGGGTGGAGAAGATCCCCTGGAAGAGGAAATGGCAATCTGCTCCAGTATTCTTGCCTGGGAAATCCCATGGACAGAGGAACCGGGAAGGCTGCAGTCCCTGGGGGTCTCAAAAGAATCAGACACAACTTAGGGACTAAAGGACGAAACAACAACAGCTCTAAAGTCTAGGCATTCACGAAGATAAGCTGGGGGAAAAAATGAGAAATCAGGGGCTTGAGTTGGCTTTTGCAGTTGCCAGCAGATGGCGCCACACACATACACGCTGGACTGGAGTTTTCAGATGCTTTGCCAGCCAGTACATCATGGATCTCTTGTCTATGTATGGCTTTATCTACTTACACATGGTGTAAAATTAGAGTCTGCATCCCTGGCTCATGAATATTTATTCCTGGGTTGTATTTATGTGTTATGGTAGGAATATTTATATTACGGTTCAGTTAAGGGCAGGACTAGGATTGTCTTGGTTACAGGTGGCAGTGAGCCTAGCACAAAGCCTGCCTGCCACCCAGCATGTACTCAGGCAGTGTTTGTGGAAGAACTTGTTAGATTACTTCCAGGCTGAGTATGACTCCTTCCAGAGGCAACAGCAAGTCAAGGAGAGGGGCAGATGGATACCCTGGAGCACCCCCACCTCTCGGCCCTGGGCTTTTGCACAGTACTGTTCCCTCTGCCTAAAGCACTCCTGCCTGATCACTCCTGCTCATCCTCCAGATTTCAGTGCAGATGCCCCATCTTCCAGGAAGCCCTCCCGGACTCCTAGGGTGGGTCAGCCTCTTGTTGCCTCTGAGCACCTGTAGCCCCTTGCTGCCCACTCAGGGGGTGACTAAGAATGACGCGCCACTGGACTGTGAGCCCGAGGCAGGGAGAGCCAGGCCACCCCTCTGTCCCCAGCACAGAGTCAGACTGCAGAGCAGGGCCTCCGGGACCACGTGTGGAACGCAGGACTGCACATGTTGGTACCATCCTGCCCAGTACTCAGGGTCCTCGGCACACCCTGTCACTGACCGCCCGCCTCTCTGCCCTGCAGTTCCGGAACTTCAAGATCATTTACCGACGCTATGCCGGCCTCTACTTCTGCATCTGCGTGGACGTCAACGACAACAACCTGGCGTACCTGGAGGCCATCCACAACTTTGTGGAGGTGCGCGGGTGGGGGGCGGAGGGTGGCGGCACTGTCCGGACCCCTTCTGTTAGGATACAGGGCCCTCAGCTTGGGGGGAGGGGATCCTGTCTTTCTCTGCCCACCTTGATGTTTCCTCAGGCCTCTGTTTCCCTTCAGTTTCTCTCTTGTTTCTTTCCTTTTAATATTTACTGATTTATTTTGCCTGCACCGGGCCTTAGTTGCAGTGCTTGGGATCTTTAATCTTCACTGCATCACGCAGGATCCCTAGTTGTGGCATGTGGCATCTGATTCCCTGGCCAGGGATCGAACCTGGGCCCCCTGCATTGGGAGCACGGCGTCTTAGCCACTGGACCACCAGGGAAGTCCCCGTCTGCCTTGTTTTCATGCCATCTCTTTCTGATGCCTCTGCTCCTGTGTGTATGTGTGTGTGTCTCCTTGCCCATCTCGCACCACCTCTGTCTTCTTCTCCTAGGTCTTAAATGAATATTTCCACAACGTCTGTGAACTGGACCTGGTATTCAACTTCTACAAGGTGGGATCAGGGGGAAGATGAGGAGGAGGGAGCCAGAGGAGGGGGCCGGTGGGGGGCCAGAAGCCCACAGCCACCCCGGTGCCTCCACTGGGGTCTGTTTTCTGGTTCTTGGGCATCAGAACTCCCCAGCCCCCCAGGGGTCCACCCCAGTGCTCACCCCAGGGTCTCCCCATGCACTCCCTTCCCTCAGGTTTACACGGTCGTGGACGAGATGTTCCTGGCCGGCGAGATCCGTGAGACCAGCCAGACGAAGGTGCTCAAGCAGTTGCTGATGTTGCAGTCCCTGGAGTGAGGGCGGCCGTCCCCTCCCGCCCCGGTCCCTCCCCGGACTAGCCTGCTCGTGTCCCTTTTCCGGGCCCGGGGTCCACCCCAGCGGCCCCCTCCCTCAGCTGCCCAGGAGGAAGGCACCCAGCTGGGTCTGGGCCACCAGGGAGGCGGCCACATCCCACGGCCTCGGGGCCCCAGCTGTGGGCGGAGGCCACCTCGCGTGTAACCGTGCTGTCCTCGTGTGATGCCGTGAGCGTGTGCGTGGAGCCCCCAATAAACCTGTGGTCCCCGCCTGGCCTCATGTCCTTGCGCTTCTGCCTGTCCTCCTGGGGACCACGGGCAGCTCCAGGGGCCCTGCCATTGGTGTGTCGGGTAGTCAGTCAACAAACACGCCTTGGACTGAGTGAGGTAGTGGGGTGGGGGCAGGGGCATTCACACCTGCTGCTGCCCGCAGATGGCCCCAGGGGACTGGGAAGGGTGACAGATTTAGACACCGAGCTCTCGCTCCTAAAATAATGACACTCAGAGCCAACACCGACATCTCCCAGGCCGTTCTAAGCGTGACACATCGTGCCTTCATTAACCCTCACAAGATGCAGAAGGGATGGTTAGAGGGGATCACTCAGCTCAGAGGGTCACAGAGTGAGTCTGCGGCTGAACCAGGTTTTCTGATTTTTTTAATCTTTATTTTTGGCCGTGCTGGGTCTTCGTGGCTACGCGGGGGCTTGCAGCAAGTGGGGGCACTTGCTTCTCTTGCTGTGGGGCTCGGGCTCAGTCATCGTGGCATCGCATTAGCTGCCCCGCGGCACATGGGATCTTCCCAGACCAGGGATCAAACCTGTGTCCCCTGCGTTGGCAGCTGGATTCTTAACCACTAGACCAGCCTGGAAGTCCTGAGCCCAGGCAGGCGGCTCCAGAGTCCTATTCCTCAGGCAGAAGGCCCGAGGTGCAGGCCCCGGGCCCCGAGTTCAGTGGTTCTCAGCCGCGGCCCTGCTGGCCGTCGGGGCGGGTCAGTTCTTCACCATGTGAGGCTGTCCCGGGCGTGGCCGGCCTGCCCGCCCCCGTCTGCCAGGTGCCGGCACCAAGTGGCCCTCAGCCCTTCTGGCAACAGGAAACAGTCCTGCGTGTTTTCTTTGTTTTTGGCCACCTCGCTCTGCTTGCAGGGTCTTACTTCCCCGACCAGGAATTAAACCCGGGACCGTGACAGTGAAAGCGCCAAGTCCTAACCACTGGATCACAAGGGAATTCCCTGCACATGTTTCTAGTGCCCTCTGGGGTGGCTGTGCCCCCTCCCCCCATGCCCATTGAGAACAGAGTGGTGGCAGCCAGCTGCAGCCATGGCCGGCACCCCTGGCAGAGCTGAGAATGCCAGGCACGTGGCATCCGTTCCTACTGGTGTGACACAGCTTCGTGTCCATCTCCCACCTGCAGGGGACGGGCATGTCCCAGCTCAGTCCCAGGCATGCTGTGCAACCTCGGGGTCAGTCACTTAACCCCGCTTGCCTCTCTTTCTTCATCTGGCAAGTGGGTCGACTATAGTTTTTACTCTCATGGAGTGTCCCTGAGGAGTAAGTGAATTAATCCTGGTCAGTACCTAGCATCGGTCGACACGCATTCACTGCACAGACATTAAGTGCCTGCTGTGTGCATGGCCCTATGAGAGACACAGGATGCCTATAGACGTGGATGGTGAGCACATCATCATCTCCATTTTATCTGGGACACTGAGGCTTGGGGAGGTGAATTCTTTTTATAGATAAATCGTTCCAACAGTGTATTTGTTTCTTGTTGTTGCTGTAACAAGCTATCACGAACTGGGTGGCTTAAACCAACAGGACTCTGATCACTCGTGAGGAGTGAGAGCATGGGTGGGGGGCACCCAGCTGAGGCTTGGATCTGCAGCTGGGTGATATAGGGTGGGAGGTGAGATTTCCACGTGCCACTATGGAAGACCCAGCACAGCCTAGATAAATGAATAATAAAAATATTTTCCAGAACATTTCATCACCCCCCAAAGAAACCTGTACCCTTAGCTATCACCCCTCAATCCCTCCATCCCCTCCTACCCCCGCCCCAGCCCTGAGTCAACCTACTAATCCACATCTACTCTGTGGATTTGCCCATTTTGGATATTTCACAGAGATGGAATCGTCCACTATGTGGGAAATGGGAATGTTTTGAGCTGAGGAGGGATAACTATTGGCCATGCTCAATGTAGGAAGTCAAGGGTGGGAGCCAGGGCCAGTCAGGAGGTGACTGCAACAATCCAGGTGAGAAGTGATGCTGGCTTGGGACAAGCTGGGGACGAGGTGATGGGAGCCGAGAGACGTGATCAGATTCTGGACACATTTTGGAGGTAGAATCAATAGGATTTGCTGATGATTTGATGTAGGGGGGGAGAGAAGTCAGGGATCACTCCTAATTTTATAAGCTGAGCATCTGGAAGACTCGAATCACCTTTTCCAGAAGTGAGAAGACAGTGGCAGGGGAATTCTGTCAAGTTTGAGTTCTTGGGCCTCCAGGGGGAGATGCTGGGGAGGCAGAGGATCTGGGGTTCAGAAGAGAGATGCAAGGTGAAGACAGACATTTGAAAGCACCACAGTGCTGTTGGGGTTTACTGCCATGACATCAGCCAAGATCACCGAGGGGGCAGGCGTGAAGGGAAAAGAGATCTACAGACCAAGATCAGGAAAAGGAGAAATCAGAAAATGAGACAGAGGCGGGACAGCCAATGAGAAAGAAGGAAAAACGTTCAGTGCAGCACCCTGGAATCAGAGAAAAAAGCGTGCTCAGGAGAAGAGAGTATTCACACGTGAAATGCTGTTGAGGTCACCGCAGCTCTATGAGAATGGCTCGTTAAATACACCAAATGCAAAGGAACTTCTCTGCTGGTGCGCTGATTAAGACCCCAGCTCCCAATGCAGGGCCCAGACTCGATCCCTGGTCAGGGAACTAGATCCCACACGCCACAACGAAGCGTTTGCATGCCACAACGAAGACCTGGCACAGTTACATAAAAAATAAATATTTAAAAAGAATGCAAAGTGTGCCAGGCAAGCTTGCAGAGCAACCAGAACTCTTGTACATTGCTGCTTGGAATGGAAAACGGGGCAGGTTCTCTGGAAGGATCTGGCAGATTCTCGTAAAGTTAAACATTACATTTACTTTATGACTCAGCAATCCCACTCCTATTTGTTTACCCAAGGGAAATAAAAACTGATGTACAAAATTTCTACACGAACCCAAGTTAAATGAAGACCTAGGTTCATGCAGAGACTTGTCCGTGAATGTTCATAGCAGCATTACTCACCTTAGCCAAAAGATGGAGACAACCCAGAGACTTGTCAACTGATGAAGGGATAAATAAGATATTCTATGTCCACATGGATGGTTATTAATTGTGTAAGAAGAATGAAACATGGATGCGTACTGCAATATGAATGAACTCTGAAAATGTATGATGACAGAAAGAAGACTGGGAAAAGGCCACATATTACATGATTCTGTATCATATGAAATTTCCAGAATAGTCCATGTTTTGTTTTGTTTTTAAACTGCGGTGTGTGTTTATTTGTTTATTTTTGGCTGCACTGGCTCTTTGTAGCCATGCACAGGTTTTTCCAGCTGCAGTGAGCGGGGGGCCACTCTCTAGTCGGGGTGCAGGGGCTTCTCTCTGCGGCGGCCTCTCTCGTTGCGGAGCACAGGCTCTAGTGTGAGGGCTCAGTCGTTGTGGCGCACGGGTTTCGTTGCCCTGTGGCGTGTGGGATCTCCCCCGACTAGGGGTCAAACCTGTATCCCCTGCAATGGTAGGTGGGTTCTCATCCACTGGACCACCGGGGAAGTCCTAGGCCAATCCATGTAGACAAGAGCAGATTAATGATTGAGAATGTTTGAGGAACTGGGATTTGGGGGTTGATAGCTAGAGGGTGCAAGGCTTCTTTTCAAGGTGAAGAAAATGTTCTAAAATTGTATGGACACAATATATGTCTGAATATATGAAAAATCATCAAATTGTACACTTTCCTTTTTGTCTTTTGTTATATTTTCAAACTCTATACTTTAAACAGGTTCATTGAATGATATGTGAGTTATAGGTTAATAATGCTGTTAATGACTGAATAAATAAATCTCACCTTGCAGTGGCAAACAGAAAAACAAAACCCCAACCCCTGCCCCCCCCCCCAGATGTTATTGTTACACTGGCTTTATTCTTAACCATCAGAAACTGGAAACAATCCAAATGTCCTTCAACAAGTAAATAGATAATAATCTGTGGTCCCTCCAGGCAATGGATGGATATTCTTCAGCATGGGCAAAGAACAAGCAGCTGATACAACTCAACAAGGTGGATAAATCTCAAATCTCATATCTTTTTGCTGAGGGAGAGAAGCCAGACCCAGAAGGGTACACGACACTGTGAAATTATTATTTTTGGTTTTGGTTTTTGGTGGAGCCACACGACAGGAAGGATCCTCATTCCCAACCAGGGATTGAACCCAGGCCCCCTGCATTGGAGCATGGAATCTCAACCACCAGACTGCCAGGGAAGTCTTTTTTTTTTTTTTTTTTAAATAGCACTGCAAGGCTAATAGGATCTCAGTTCCCCAGGCAGGGATTGAACCTGGGCCACAGCAATGAAAGCCCGGGATCCTAACCATTAGGGTAACCAGGGAACTCCCACAATGTTGTTATAAGAATGAAGTGACTGAGGACAGATCAGGGATTGCCAGGGGCTGGTAGGTGAGCTGGGGGCCAAACCACAGTGGAGCACCAGAGGACTTCTGAGGGCGATGGAATTCTTCCATGTCTCCACTGTGACCGTGGGCTATCTGACCTTCTGCCTTGATCAAAGCTCATGGACCTGTCCATTAAAAAGGGTGAGTTTTAGAGACATCCCTGGCGGTCCAGTGGCTAAGGCCGCACTCCTAATGCAGGGGGCCGGGGTTCCATCCCTGATCAGGGAACAAGATACACGTGTCACAACTAAAGATCACTCATGCTGCAACTAAGACCTGGCGCAGCCCA